TCCACTCCGACCATGGAGGTGAGTTTTTGTGAGAGTATGACGGCTTATGCCAGCTATGCTTGCTTGCTTTACTTTATCATGCTATTTCTAGCATAGGATAATCATATGCATGCATGAATTACTTCATTTCCTAGGCTAGGTGCTTTCCTATATTTTATTTTAGTTATAGCACCGAGCTAGGTTGCGTGCACTGAATTCTGGCTTTTTGGTTGCCACCGAATTGCCTTCTACCGAATTCGGGAAGGATCTGTTCGGGACGCTTCGCGACCCGCGGAACCTTCGCGTAACACCTGGTTACGGGGCCTTGTGTCGAGCCTATATATAGCTTCGTGTTGTACCCAGGTGATCATTCAATTACAATTCTATTTTCTGAGCTCGATCCTAGATTCTCACAGTTTTTCTCCAACGTGATAGCCAGATTCTACGGCGAACAGGGCATCACCCAATCCCGGACGCTTCCAGAGTCCCCGCAGCAGACTGGGGTTACAAAGCGCCACATTGGCCTGGTCATGGAGATCGCCTCCATGATCCATGCCCATGCGCCCCATCTTCTATGGCCTGACGCGGTTCACTACGCCGCCCACCAGCTCAACCTTTGGCCTTGTGTCTCAAAACCAGGGGATTCGCCGACCAGTCTTGATACTGGGTCCCGGTGTTGCATCGGAGTTTTGTGTCTAGGGATGCCTTGCGCTTGTCCACGACACCTCTACGAACAAGCTCTCTTCTCGCGCCATCCCCTGTATCTTTGTTGGTTTCCCGGTGGACTCTCCTGACTTTGCGTTTTACCACCCACCCCTCCACCGTTTCCTTGACTCCCGTGACGTCCGGTTTGACGAATCAGTGTCCTATTACGCTCGCTAGCCCTGTCGAGGTCTCCCGGTTCCCTCTCCTCCCCTTTTCCTTGCTCCCTCTCCTCCTCTTGCTCCCACTCCTCCGGTACCCCTGCCCCGCCCTGAGCTTGACTTGTCAGGTGTGTCTCATGCTACCCCTCTACCCTTAGTAGCGCGTCCAGTGGCGCCTCCCTTCCCGCAGTCCTCCTTACAGTCCCCTCAGTAGCCTTCGGCACTTCCGCGATAGGTTACTGTGGAATTTGGAGGTGATCGAGCTAGAGGTGCTGGCACTTGCCGTGCTCGGTCTGGGGGTGCTCATTTGGGGAGTGCTTGAGTTGGAGGTGCTAGATCTAGAGGTAATGGAGTTGAATTTGCTGGCACCAGAGGTGCTAGTTCAAGAGGTGATGGTACTGGAGTTCCAGACCTTGGAGGTTGTGGTTCTAGGGGTGCTGGCACTAGAGGTGCTAGCTCTTAGGGGGCTGGAGTTGGAAATAGCGCTCCTATTTTGATGCCTTCTTCGCCACCCCATTGTCACGACACACGTTACTAGGCTGCTTGTTGGCATGCGCGCAAGGAGTAGGAGAGGTTGGCGCAAGAGAGGCAGGAGCTGCAGCGACTAGACCAGCAGGAGCAGCAGCCGGTGCAATAGGAGCAGCAGCAGGTGCAGTAGGAGCACCAGCAGCAACCGCCCCTTTTGCAGCAGTTGTTCCCACCCGTGAGTGGCCTTCGGGCCCTTGGTCTTCCCTCTTCTCCTTTCCGCGCACAATCCCTCACTATCTTCGGTCCTATGTTTCCTCCTGCCTGTACGGGCTGCGCGTAGGCCACGACGGGCGACGGGGGGCGACGCGCGGGTCCCCGTCGCCCGTCGCGGCGCTCCAGAGGACGACGCGCCAAACGACGGGGCAGAAGCCCGCCGCGCGCCTCGGGGCGCACAGCGGGCAGAGAGCCGCCGCGCGCCTCGGGGCGCACGGCAGGAAGAAAAACAGCCGCACGCCACGGGGCGTGCGGCACAGAGAGTAGCAGTAGTAGTTGCAGCAGAAGCAACGAGGTGGTAAGCCCACCCACAGGACCGATCCAAGGGGATCGACCTGCTCTGATAGCATGTGAGAGTTAGAAGAGAGAAGAGGGCTGCACTAGCAAGAATGAGGATACAAATAGCAAACCCTAGAAGGGTTGTACTCGCTATAGAGCACCCCACTACATGCTAGAGCATAAGATAACATCCTGACAGAAGCTGCATCTTCGAGTGCAGGACCTAGGGATGACATATTCGACGTACCCTATGATCCTATAAGCGATACCATCTACGGATACTCGGAGCAGCAGCAACCACTAGTACTCGAGGTGATCTCCAACGGGCGTCGCCTCCAGGCCTTGGTGGACAGTGGTGCGTCCCACTCGGTGTGCGACCGCGGGACGTTGGAGAAAATTGGAGAATCCTCAGAAGAAACCCAGTTTATAGCAACGATGGTGGACGGTACGAAGCTTCCCATCCACGGCAAGTCAACACTGCAGCTGCAGATTGGGGCGTTGAGGTGGAAGCCGATGTTGCCAATCACGAACATCAAGGGATTAGCTTTCATCTTGGGGCGAGATTTTCTGAAGCGGTTCCATCCCGAGATCGACTGGGTCAACCGGAAAACGTACATCTACAATAACGGGAAACGAGTGGAGCTGCGAAGCTGGACGGATACAGGGAGCGTTCCTGAAATGACACTGGCACGGTTCAAACGGACAGTGAACGAGAGTAACACGGGTTACTTAGCACTGGTTATGGCAGCAGCAGAGGAGGAGGTCTTGGAGCAGTACAAGGATATAATGCCCGACAACCTACCCGCAAGCGTACCTCTAGCACGCACCCACGAGCACGAGATCGTGGAGGAACCAGGTGCGAAACCCGTCTCACGTGCACCATACGGACTGAGTCCGACTGAAATGACAGACATGAAAAAACAGATAGAGTATCTACTGGATAAACAACTGATCCGCCCATCCACCTCTCCCTACGCTGCACCAGTTCTCCTCACTCCAAAGCCAGACGGTAGTTTACGGATGTGCATCGACTACCGCGCACTGAACAAACAGATAGCACTGACTACAGCGCCAGTACTCATCCTACCGGATCCAGACAGAGACTACGTGGTGGAAGTAGACGCTAGTGAGCAAGCAGTCAAAGCAGTACTGATGCAGCATCACGAACGCAGTTTGCAGCCCATCGCCTACCTCAGTAAGAATCTGTTAGAGTGGAAGAAGGACTTAGCTGTAAGGAAGGGTTCAGGAAAGATTTGGGTACCGAATTACGCCCCGCTACGGCAGATCCCATTGGAGGAGTTTCACGACGTACCATACGCGGGACATTTCGGGAGCAACAAGACGTTAACAGGGATAGCGAAGTATTACTACTGGTTCGGGATGGCCGCAGTGCAGCAGTTCGTCAACTAATGCGACACGTGCCAACGGATGAAGAGCAGCAAGCAGAAAAAAGCAGGGTTACTTCAGCCTCTACCCGTACCGGAGCACCCATGGCAGGTCATTAGCCTCGACTTTATCACAGGACTTCCTTCGACCTCACGGGGGCACAATTCCATCCTCGTAGTAATCGATAAGTTCTCCAAAATGGGTCACTTCATACCAACCAACGCCACGGCAACAGCTGAAGCAACTGCTCACCTCTTCTTAGACCGCATCATCACCATCCACGGCATCCCCGCTACACTCATCTCAGACAGAGACCCCAAATTCACGAGTAAGTTCTGGAAGGAGTTCATGGGACTGTTGGGGACAAAGCTAGCAATTTCTTCAGCATACCACCCCCAAACTGACGGACAGATTGAGCGACTCAATCAGGTGGTTGAACAGTTACTGCGCACAGCTTGCACAGACGACATCAGCCACTGGGACATACAGTTACCGACGCTTGAGTTTGCTTACAACAACGCTTCACACGCAGCCACAGGGGAATCTCCTTTCTTCCTGTGTTACGGACGGGAACCACTCACACCACAGCAGCCAACCACACCGGCAGACGTCCAAGCCGCACATGACTTCGTCACCACCATGCAGCAGCTATGAGAGAAGACTTAGCGACGTCTCACCACGATGCAGAACTCCCAGAAGTAGTATGCCGATCGTCAGCGACGAGATCACTCAGTAGCAGTCGGAGATCAGGTGCTTCTTGACACACACAACTTGAACCTGTCGCACCTACCATCCAAGCTCCGGCCTCGCTTCTGTGGTCCTTTTCTTGTTGACGCACAGTTGACACCAATTACATTCCGCTTGCGCTTGTAAGATACATGGAAGCTTCACAACGCTTTCCATGTCCATCTACTGAAGCCCTACAAGGACCCCAACCAACAGTTCCAGGGACGGCAACTACCGCCACCACCACTTTTTCTCATACAAGATGAACCCGAGTACGAAGTGGAGCGTGTTCTCACTTATCGGCGCCGCGGCGGCAAGACCCTCGAGTTCCTGATACGCTGGAAGGGATACGACCCAACTAAGGACAGTTGGGTTGCAGAAGCTGATATGGGCAACGCACGCCGTGCTCTCAAGGACTATCTTGTCAAGCAGGGTGTATCTCACGCCACCCAGCTTTGAGGGGGGGACGTGTGAGAGTACAACGGCTTATGCCAGCTATGCTTGCTTGCCTTACTTTATTATGCTATTTCTAGCATAAGATAATTATATGCATGCATGAATTGTTTGATTTCCTAAGCTAGGTGCTTTCCTATTTTGTAATAGTTATAGCACCGAGCTAGGTTGCGTGCACCGAATTCTGGCTTTTCGGTTGCCACCGAATTGCCTCCTTCCGAATTCGGAGAGGATCTGTTCGGGACGCTTCGCGACCCGCGGAACCTTCGCGTAACACCTGATAACGGGGCCTTGTGTCAAGCCTATATATAGCCTCATGTTGTACCTAGGAAATCATTCAATTCACTTTCTCTTTTCTGAGCTCGATCCCAGATCCTCACAGAGGATAAGTCGCTGGAGGAGTGGAAGTCGGAGCACGGGCCGTTGTCGTGTCAGACGCTGCCCACCCTGCAGTCCGACTTCCCGACGGCGACGCTGCCTCTGCTCGCCAAGGTCGGTGAGCTTGCGGTTGAGGACGTTGCGGTGGCCCGTCCACCTCCCCCTACGACCCCTGCCCCTCCCCTCGTAGCCGACATGCACGGGCTGACTCCTATGTCAGCCTCCGGCGATGAGGGGAAAAGTGGGACGTCGCCCTCGACGCCGGCCAAGGGCATTGCCGGTGACCGACGTGTCTTGCAGAAAATCGACGTGGGGGTGCAGGTCGAGGAGGAGCAAGTCAAGCAGGTCGAGGAGGAGAAGCCGACTTGGGTGAAGGCGACGAAAGGAGCACCAGCAGGGCAGCAGCCGCCAGGGGAGCCGGCAGCGGTGATGCCGACCACGCAGGCAGCGGTGACGCCGACCACGGAGCAGTCGGCAACCAAGCAGTCGGCAGAGGAGCCGACTATAGGGGAGAGGTCGACCGGGAAGTCTACCGTGGGGCAGCAAGGCGACGAGGGCAGCGAAGTCGGTGACGACGGAGGGGACGCCGGGGAGTCCACCAAGAGTGATGTGGTGGAGGTCCGGCCTGAACCCCGGAAGTCGGATAGGCTTTGGAGGCCGCCGGACTTCTTCGTCCCCGCTGCCCTTACCACGGTGTACGACGTGGTAGATGACAACGACCTGCTGTACGACGACGCCGAGCAGGATGAGGATTTTCCGGAGCTTGACCCAAACATGTTGGCCGACCCCGAGCAGCGTTGGGACATCTCGACGATGACAGGGAAGGAGGCGTTGGCGACTTGGAAGGGCCCGGCAGTGAAGGCCGCCATGAGGGAGGAGATCCGCACCCTCATCAACATGGGCACTTGGGAGCTGGTTGAACGCCTGCCGGGGGTCAACATCATGAAGAACCGGTGGGTGCTCTACATGTCCCAGCCGGACTACTTCAACGACGGTACCGGCCGGGTGTGCAAGCTGCTGAAGAGCCTGTACGGGCTGAAGAAGTCGCCGCTGCTGTGGTACTTGGCGCTCAACGACGTGCTGGTCGGCGCCAGGTGGAAAAAGAGCCAGGTCGACGAGGCTCTCTACTTCAAGGTCGGCGACGACGGAGTGGCCTGCTGGGTGCTGGTCTACGTCGACAACCTGCTCGCCGCCAGCAGCAGCACCGAGATGCTGAAGGAGTTGAAGGAGCTGCTGGAGTCCGCCTTCAAGCGGCGAGAGATCTCGCCGGTGCAGAAGTATCTCGAGCTGGAGATCGTCCGCAACAGGTTGGCGGGGAAGCTATGGCTGCACCAGCAGGGCTATGCCGACAAGCTGCATAGGCGCTTCATCGACAAGGCGCAGACCGGGCACACCCCGAAGACGCCGGTCTCTGTCGACGCCTACGCCGAGCTCACCTTCGACGACGAGGAGGCACATGAGCGACAGGAGGAGGAGTACCGGCAGAAGGTCGGCTCGCTGCAGTTCGCGGCGATGACGACGACACCGGACATTGCCTTCGCCTGCAGCAAGCTGGGGAGCGGCCTCACGGAGAGGAGCGACCAGCAGTGGCGCGAGGTCGACCGTTGCCTTACCTACCTCGCCAACATGCATGACACCGCCCTGGAGTTCGGCGGTGGACCTGAGTCGCTGGAGCTGGTCGGCTACGTGGACGCTGACGATGCCGGTGACAAGCAGAACAGGCTGAGCACAGGCGGCTACGTGTTCGTCTACGGAGGTGCCGCGGTCTCCTGGTCGAGCCAGCGCATCAAGTGCGCGACATTGTTGTCGAACGAGTCGGAGTACGTGGCGGCCACCGAAGCTGGCTAGGAGGGACGCCGACTTCGCTTCCTCCTTGCAAAGTTCCGGCAGCTGGATACCGGGAAGCCGACCGTCCTTCAAGTGGACAACAGGTCGGCCATCAATGTCGCCGAGGGCATGGGGTTGACGGGCAACCTCAAGCACATGGAGCGGCGACAGGCCTGGCTGTAGCACATGGTGAAGCGCGGGAAGTTCTCGCTGAGGTACATCTCGACCGCTGAGCAGCCGGTCGACTTCATGACGAAGGCGTTGCACTACCGGCCTTCAACCGGAGCTCCGTCGCCATCGGCCATGTGCGCTTGGCCGACGTGGGCGACGAAGTTGGCGAAGTGCAGCAGTAGGTGCCATGCCCTCTTGCATGGCTAGTGCGGTGGACGACGTGGTGTGTGTTGGGTGCACGTCGACGAGCTATTCTCCGTGGAGTACTTCTATATGGGCTGGGGGCCCAAGCATGAACACGGCAGGGGAGTGTCAACGGGAGTTGTGTGTTGGCCCCGTCCTCGCTTGGGCGGAGCTGACTTGGTGGTCGGGTGTGAGGGGAGCAGCCGGCCTGCAGCAGTGGGCGAGCTGGTTGACAAGGAGGTCGACGTGCACGGGGGCCACTGCATGGGCGCCGACATCTAGGAGGCGCCGACTTCAGGGAGGTCGATTGGGGAAGTCGACCTGCGGAGGGCGTCAACTTGGTGACGCCAACTTGGGGCAGCCGACTTGGGTGGTCGGCTGATGGACTGCTGGTCGACCTGGTGGTTGGTCGCCCAGGCCTACAAGTCGACCTGACCTGGTGGTCGACGGCGGAGGGGCCAACGTCGACCTCGACTCAGGATGGCGAGCAGCTGGGCGTCGAGTAGCAGGGCGTCAACTTGGTAACGCCGAATTTGGATAGCCGACTTGGGATGTCGGCTGACAACTGCGCTGGTCGACGTGGTGCAGGTCGACCAGGAGTGCTGGTCGACGTGGAGCTGGTCGACCAGGAGTGACGTCGACCTGGAGGTGGTCGACCAAGGGTGTGGTCGACCTGGTGAGGCCGACTGGAGGTGGCCGTCGACATGGGAGGTCGACGGGCACGTACAAGAGTTGCTGGTCGACTTGGTTGCCCGGTCGACCAGGTTACCTGGGTGACAAGGTTCTGCGGAGGAATGCGACGGTCGCCCAGGCGAAGTTAGCGAGGCCGACCTCGGTGGTGGTATCCCGAGGTCGACATGGCGGATCACGTGGGGTTGTCAGCACGAGGATGACTTGGTGTGTGCGCCGTGCAGGTGTCGAGGCTCAGCCCGCCAATTATCTGCGAGCACCTGCGAAGTTGGTGTGCTGCTGTCCTGCGGGATCAATGCTGGCACGCCGTCAACCTACGACGTTGGCACGCCGTCGACTTTGCACTGCTGGAGCGCAGTCGACCAAGTCGTGCTGGAATGCGGTCGAGCGAGCTGCGCTGGCCGTTGACCGAACTAAATGCTAGCTCTGATGTAGTCCTGCCATGCCAACTTCATTGGACCATTGTTGTCAACTTTCTCTAGTGAAGCTCTTGCCAAAATTGCCTTGTGAACTAGCAAGCAGTCTGTGCACTAGGAAAACGACTAAGGACCAACAAACGCAGAGATCACACGAGCACCTGTGCCTAGCCCGTAGTCTAGCTCCCGTTGTAGTAGTTATCTCCGCAGTGGTCACATCCATGTGATGGATGTGAAACCCCAAGGAGGCTGCCATCCCAAGGGAGCCTCTCATGGTAGTAGGCTTACCTACCGAGGTAAACACCTGGTCATAGTGAACACCCCGTGTTTGAGTGTTCCACATGGCCACCAACCTAGACTTAGGCCTCTCAATGCTGCCATCAGCCTTGTGCTTGTACTTCCAAACCCACTAACACCTTAAGGCCTCTGTTCCAGGTGGCACACAAACTGGATCAACCAGCTCAAAGGACTCCTTCACCTTAGGGGACTCAAGCTCCTCACGCATGGACTCAACCCACTCAGGACGGGACAATGCCTCCTTGATGGACATAGGCTCATGCACCTGACCCATGAGACAGAAATCAAAGCCAAGCTCACCCCCAATCAGCATCCACAAACATGCACTCTTCCAAATCATGCACCTCATGATCATGCATGCAAGCATACAGTGCACTTGGTGTGAACCTTTTAGGTGGCCGGGAGATGCGGATGGTGCGGCGCAGAGGTGATGCCCCCCCCCTGCTCCAATCTTACGAGTATCTTAGCATGGATAAGTATGAGTTGCGATGGGGCCGGGTCTTTATCCGTCGAGAGGAGGAAGGGTCGCGGCATGAACGTGGGCGTTCCCTAGAGAGATCGCCCCGAAGGCCTGCCTTCTGAGTAGATAGAGTTCCCATCGTGCTGGCAAGCTGAGAGAGAGAGGCGGCGCAGGGCATACCTGGTGGCGGCAGACTCGATACATTGACGAGCGGCGCGCCATGGCCGAGAAACACGTTTCACCTTCGCGCCGACGAGCACCGCCACCCGTGCGATGAAGGGGTGTTCCGCCCCCTAGAAGGGGGAGGCCGGCGTTGTGATGAGCAAGGTCACTGGCGTGGGAGGGAGGGACTCCCACGGGAGCAAGGAGAAGGCTCGCGCGCCTGCTGTTAGAGACTAAGGACGGAGTCTATGAAGATTAGGAGCCGAAATATCTCAATATCGTTGGGCCAAGTTTCTGGACAGAAAAGTCGAGTTCACAAGAGACGTCGTTGACAAGAATTGCACCGTCAAAACTTCACAAAAATCAGATATGTTGTAGCCATAGTCTGTGGCTACAATTCCCAATTTGAATCGTACAATAAGGTGAAAAATTTCTTGAGTTATGAATTTCGGCGCACTAGGGGGTAAGCTGCCATAGAATCTTAACTCAATCACAATTGTCTCACAATTTCACACAAGAAAGTTGGAGTAGCAATTAACCAGGTGGGAGGGAAGAGGAGGACGAAAGCGAAGGTCCCCAAGGAGTCCCCAACCAAGGAAACCCCATAAGCACACCAAATCCCTTCCCTATCGGAACCCCACTTTTACTTTTGTCACTTTCCAACCCATGCCATTCACCTTGCCCAACTTGGCTACACTTGCCAACCTGATTTGGCTCCTCCCAACCACTTGGCAGCATCTAGAGTGATGTTGACGAATTTCCCAACCCCCAAAAGTCTGTACCCCTTATGAAGTCAACCCCACAACTTCCCATAGTCACCACAACCAAATATCAAAAGCATATAACTTCAAATGTTCGTAACTTTGTTGTTCGTGCTCCGATTGAAGCGATACTTAGTTCGTCGGAAAGCTCTTGAGCAGAGGAGTCACCTCAGATATCTGCTTAAGCCAAATAACATTCACACACACTCAGAAAAGCCAAACCACACCAAACACAGACTCTTGCGCACGCTCACACCACGCATGCAACCCACAAACATATGATGGGAGGCAGACAGACGTGAATGCAAATGGTAGCATCACATAACAAACTCCCCCTCTCGCTGCCTTACATCATCTCACATGTCATAGCTCAAGCATGCACCCTCAATGCACACTCATTCCAGCAAGTTCCATTCACTTCCAACACTCATCCCAATGGACAATCATCTCCGTCCAACATCCCACTTCCAACATATCCTCTTTGCTCAAATCTGCAGCACCCTCTACACCCTCTGTTTCAAAACAATATCCACCAAACCATCTCAGTGCAGCTCCATAGCAGTACTTTATCTCATCTTCATCTATCTGTTCAGCCACACTTCCAGCCGGTACCACACTTGGCGTGCCACGGCTCGCATAGGTCAGCCGGTTAGGAGGGCGCACATCCCTCCTAGGACGTTCAGCCGAACGTGCGGCACCTTGTGGAGCACCTTGCTGCTGCTGCTGCTGCTGCATCGGCTGCTGCTGCTGCTGCTCCTCTACCTCAGGTTCTTCCCTATCCTCAGTCACCCTAGAAATCTCCTCCTCTGACATAGTGACCTGCACTTGCCTCAAAGGCCGCTGCACCTGATCAGCCTCAATGATCAGCGGTGTAGTAGGAAGCTTCTGCTGCTGCTGCTTCCACTCCTTATAGTACAAGGACTCAAGGAAATTCACATCCCTTCACATAGGCAGCTGCTGGCTGGTCAAGTCCCAAATCAGCCAGCCCTTGTGATCCTTAGCAAGCCCCAAGTGCACACCCACAAGGGCGACCTGTCGCAGTGCAGTTACCCAAAACGGATCCGGTAGCCCTGCACGCCCAAGGAAAGTGCGAGCACCTTCTCGCAGGATCCGGTTGAACCGCTCAGCCACACCATTCTGCTGAGGGTTGTAGGGCACCGTGAGCTGATGCTGGATCCCCTTCTTCTTGAGCACAGCCTCAAAATCAGCGCCAATTAATTCTCCCGCGTTGTCAGTGCGGATCACCTTCACTTTGTGACCGCTCTCCCTTTGAGCTCTCGACATCCACTCCTTAAGAACAGCCACTGCCACCTCCCCCTTAGTCTTGAGAGGGTAGACCCACACCGCACACGTGTGGTCATCCACAATGGTCAGGAAGTATCGGCTGCCCGAGAGAGAAAGGGCCCTCGTGGGGCCCACCACATCCATGTGCACAAGCGCGAGTGGAGCCTTGGCTGGTCCCGTGCTGCTGCTGAAGGGGAACTTGGTGAATTTAGTCTTAAGGCGTGTAGGGCAGCTTCCAATCTCCTTTGCTGCCCCCTTCACCTTCAACCCCTTCAAGCTCCCATCTTTCACCAACTTCTGCAGCATCGAAATGTTAATGTGACACAACCTCTCGTGCCACGTCTCCCAATCGGCCTCACCACTCCCAGATGAAGCCTTTGCCCATGCAGCTGTCCCATCCACACCAGCAAGCACCTCACCATGTGGCTGCTGTGGCTGCTGCACCTTCTTGACTGCATCCAGGGCCCCATCAGTTGGTGCAGTCTCCTCTCCTCAAGCAGTTGCTTTAGCTGCTGCCACTGCTTTTGCCGTTGTTGGTGGTTTCCCATTCCAAGGGATGGTGGGCAGCTGCCACAGGTCCTTGATGCAGCTGCTTTTCTCCTCCAAGTCCCACAATAGCAACTTCCCAAGCTTTGCAAGGAAGCTCGTTGTGTCGAAAGTCACTTTGGCCTTGCTTTTCTGCAGCCAGCGCACAGAGAGGAGGTTAGCGGACAAACCTTCAACTAGCAGTACATTCCCAAGCCCCACAAGCCCCCCATTAGCTCCCGTTACCTTGGCATTCCCCACACCAATCACAGGGAGCAAAGCACCTGAAGCGGCAGCCACAAACTTTATCTTCCCAAGGGGTTTCAGCTCGTCAAGCAAATCTGCCCGTGGGGTCATGTGACTTGTGCAACCTGAATCGATTACCCACTGAGTGAGGGGGTGCATCACAACCTTCCCAACTGAACCCACATCACCTCCACTCCCTTGCACATCCTCAACCATGTGGAAAATCCCAGGGTCGGCTTTACCTTGTGCACCATCACCTTGTGCACCTGAACCTTGCACGTTGCCACCTCATGCACGTTCACCACTTGGCGGCTTCATGCCTGGGGGTGCCTATC